TTGTTTTTGTCTGATTGATTTTAAGACCACTATTTTTTGCAGCTCGTTCTATTTGAGTGAATGCCTCTATCATTTCTCTTCTTGATCTTGCGATTATGTCAACATCATCTGCAAATGCTAGTACTTGCACGCTTTTATTAATTATTGTTCCTCGGGTATTAACTGTTGTGTCTCTTATTATTTTTTCAAGTATGATGTTGAATAATATGCATGATAGAGCGTCTCCCTGGCGTAGTCCCTTCTTCACATCTATTGTTTCCGTTAATTCGTTTTGTATCCGGATTTTACTTTCTACTTTTAGTGTTTCTTTTATCAATTCTATTAGCTGTGTTGGTATATTAAATTCTTTCATTGCTTTTGTTAGGAATTCTCGGTTTATATTGTCATATGCGCTTTCGAAGTCTATGAAGAGATGATGTGTGTCGATGTTATATTCACTTGTTTTTTCAAGGATCTGTCGCAGAACAAATATCTGGTCTATTGTTGACTTCTATCTACAGAAGCCACATTGGTATTTGCCAACTATTTTTTCAGCGTATGGTCTAAGTCTTTCATACATTACGTTGGACATTATTCTGTATGCCGCATTCAACAGCGTGATTCCACGGTAGTTTTCACATTCTAACTGGTTTCCTTTTTTATGTAGTGGTACAATAATGCCGCTATTCCACTCCTTTGGTAGCTGTTTATTCAACCATATCTTTCTTATCAGCTCATGTATGGCTTTAAGTAATGCGTCTCCTCCTTCTTTCAGTAGCTCCGATGATATTTGATCCGATCCCGGTGATTTATTGTTCTTTAATTTGTCCACTGCTGTTCTAATCTCTGCTATTGTTGGTGGACTCTTTTCTCTGTTGTCTGCTTGGTCTAATGGTATATCAGGGTTCATCTCCGTCCTATTCGCCCCAAGCTTTTCCTTAAAATGTTCTGTCCATCTTCTAAGTATCTCTTGCTGTTCTGTCAATATATTACCCTCCTTATCTTTACACATTGTTGTTCTCGGTTTGAACTCTTTTCTGCTTTTGTTGAGTTTCTGGTAAAATTTTCTTGTCTCTGTTGGTTTACTTAGTTCTTGTAGTTCTTGAAGTTCTTTGTTGATATATTCTCTCTTCTTTCTTCGGTGAATTTTCTTTTCTTCTTTACGTAGTTGTTTATATTCTTCCTCTGCTTGTCGGGTTCTGTGCCTCAACACCTCTTTAGCTGTTTCTTTTATGATTTCTCTGCACTCTTCCCACTCCTCATTTAGGTTTTCATGTTTTGGTCTGTTTTCTAGTTTGATGCTTATATTTTCTTTGTACTCTCTATTTTTGTTTGTTTCTTTGAGTCCTTCTATATTGTATCGTTCATGTTTCGAGCCTCTTTCCTTTTTGATGTTTGAAATTCTAGCCCTTATTTTACTTTCGACCAGGTAGTGATCAGAATCCGCATTTGCCCCTCTTCTAGTACGGACCTTTATTATATTCGATTGGTGTCTTGAGTCTACAATAACATGATCTATCATATTCACTGTAAGTCCGTCTGGTTATTTCCAGGTGCCTTTGTGTGTATCTTTTCGAGCGAAGTATGTGCTGGCAATCACCATGTTAAGTGATCTTGCTAGGTTTACCAACCTATTGCCATTGTCATTTGATTGCTCATGGAGACTGTGCTTACCTATTGTGGGTTGGAATTGCTGCTCTCTTCCAACTTTTGCGTTTAAGTCTCCATAAATTATTTTTATATCACTTTTTGGGCATGACTGGTATGCGGACTCTAATTCATCATAAAACTCTTCTTTGACTTCCTCTTCTTTTTCTTCTGTGGGGGCATGCGCATTAATTAGGCTGTAGTTGAAGAAACGTCCTTTAATTCTTAAAATACACATTCTGGGACTGATGGCTCTGAAGTCTTTTATTATATGTCTTACTCTCTTGTTAACTATGAATCCAGTGCCCAAAATGTGATCTTTAGGAGCGCAGCTGTAGAAAATGGTATGGCTCTTTTTTCCATAATATTGTTTCCAATCCACCTCATTTCTTGTATGGCAGTTATGTCAATTTTGTATTTACTTAGTTCGTTTAAGAGATTTTGGAGAGCCCCTAATCTGCACAATGTTCGAACATTCCATGTCGCAACCCTCAAATCGTGTTCCTTTTTCTCGCACAGTCGTCGTCGTTTAATCAGTCCGGCTTTTCTTCCTTGAACGTTCATAACTCATGGTTTTTCTAGGAGAAGGTAGTTAACCTTCAGCCCAACCCCCTATTCGTCGGAGGATCAAGACTCCCTTCTTCGTCAGCCCTGACCCCACCTTCCATTGGGGGTTGGTTACCCAATCTCCAGTGGAGTTGCTCAGGTTACCGGTGTGTACCAGCTTGGAGGTGAAGATAGGAATTGAGTAGGAGAGGCTAAGTGACGCCAACAGGATACGGCATCATATGTTGCGCTTCACTACCCCTTCACACACCATAATCTAAACATTATGAAGACATAATTTTTCCCGTTTTTTTTTCTCTCCACTTTATGTGTATAATGCGTTTAATTGAAATATATTTTATTGTTTTACTGCCACAATTAAAGATAAAAATACGTTTATTGACGTTTCAATTTCCAATTCGGAAATCGTTCTCAAAATACAAACAGTAAATTAAACAAATTTTTTTTTTTTTTTTGTTACATAGGTAGTGAAAAAATTCTTCTAATAATTTAATTTTATCTGACTCATTTATATTGACAATTCAGACATACATTATGCATTTTAAAGTAGACGACTTTAAAATGATATTGCCAATATTGTTGAGTTGCGCTCCTGGGACGACATTACTTATAAGATAGTTCATTCGATTACATGAAATCAACTTTAACTTGAGAATATCCGTCAGAAAAAATCATAGCATCTAATTCGTCTTTAAAAAGACAAACACATGACATGATGACAGTAAAATTCTCCTGTTAGTGATTCCATAGTAAATTATGAGGGAAAAACCAGGAAAAAAACCTCATAATACTATCCCGACATTGTAAGTATTTGTTCGTGAATTTAGTTTACCTTCAACAAACATCAAAAATTCTGATTTTATATGTTACGTAATTTAAAAACATATATATATATATATATATATATATATATATATATATATATATATATATATATATATATTCTATATATATATATATATATATATATATATATATATATTTTTATATATTTTTAACGTAACATATAAAATCAGAATTTTTGATGTTTGTTGAAGGTAAACTAAATTCACGAACAAATACTTACAATGTCGGGATAGTATTATGAGGTTTTTTCCTGGTTTTTCCCTCATAATTTACTATGGAATCACTAACAGGAGAATTTTACTGTCATCATGTCATGTGTTTGTCTTTTTAAAGACGAATTAGATGCTATGATTTTTTCTGACGGATATTCTCAAGTTAAAGTTGATTTCATGTAATCGAATGAACTATCTTATAAGTAATGTCGTCCCAGGAGCGCAACTCAACAATATTGGCAATATCATTTTAAAGTCGTCTACTTTAAAATGCATAATGTATGTCTGAATTGTCAATATAAATGAGTCAGATAAAATTAAATTATTAGAAGAATTTTTTCACTATGTAACAAAAAACAAAATTTGTTTAATTTACTGTTTGTATTTTGAGAACGATTTCCGAATTGGAAATTGAAACGTCAATAAACGTATTTTTATCTTTAATTGTGGCTTATTCCCAGTTATAAATAATAATTAATTTACAATGCCACAAGAAAATAGCTTCAGAACAATGTTTTACTGCCGTTACGACATCGTGCTAAATCGTATGTCAATATTGAAACGTTTTACCAATAGATCTAGGATCTTTAACTATCAATATTACTAACAATCAAATTAAAAATGCAGTTGAACAAGGACATGAAAATAATCCCAGTCTATTTCGAAATGATTTGTCGCACATCCCGAACAAAAGTGTCATAACTCAAGATTTTTTCAAACCACACTTATTTACGGAAATATGATACATGATATCAAATCTACTAACCAACAAAACCGTAGCAAAGTTAATTTAAAAATTACCTCACAGATGGCGCTAAAAGAAGATGTTTCAGTAAATTTTCCGTTAAAAACAGTATCAATTCGTGATGCGTCGGTGAAACACCACTCGTTCCGAACAAAAGCCTATTATTTCCGATTAACGTTGCGTAAATTCGAACAAAAGTGCAGTATTTTGTGATACTCATATTTTGCATGGACGACTATGATATTTATTGACCGACAATTTCTATTTACCCGAAAAAAGTGAATCACCTGGAATTTATTGGAATTAAGTGTTGTTTAAGAGTGGTATGGTTCCGGCTAATAAAGTAATATTTCGAGATGCTACACTTTTGCACGGAAATTTGTAAACAAAAGTGTTTAGTATATCTGTATTTAGTAATTTTTTGAGTTATTACCGTTTTGCTCAAACATTTGCTATTTTTAAGTTAAACTTATTTCATTAAAAGAGTGATATTTTGATTTGCTACAATTTTTACCGAAAGTAAGTACTACTTAGTTACATTTGATACTAACTGAACGGATTAGAATAAAAGGAGTGCAAGTTCAATTTGTGTATGTACTAAGTTACGTGCAGATTTGGACAGCTAGGTAACAGTTTATTTGGAATGAAAGATCATAGTGATCCCTATATTATAATGTAACACATAAGTGTTGTGATTTAAAGCCATTTTTAAAAATTAAAAATATTTTAACTTTATGTTATTCCTGATAAATTGACACTAGAATCTCTTTTATTCTAATCCCTTCAATTATTCTTAGTTTTTATTTTACAAAATTTATTGTGGTAACTATTTTGATCATGTGAAAATCGTGTAAAACATATTGTTAAAATTTATCTTTATTATTTTAAATAACTTTTTGGTTTAGGTTGGAGTTATTATTGTCTTGTTTTCGGGTGCAAAAATAATAATAATAATAATTTTTTTTTAGGTAATGGATTCTGTGCACGCCTGAACTCATAGACTAATGCAAGACGTGGCTATTCAACAAGATAATGCTTCTAATTCAACTACCCAGTCACAATATGAACACAGCCTAAATAAAAATAAAACAATTTATTCAACCGAGAATTTTGAAGAGGTCATATCGCCTCATTGTTATTCTGATATTTCTGAAGATGATGACGATAGTGTGAAAGAACCAAATTACGATAATAATTCTACAAGTTCTACAAGTCTTCGTCAATACGTCTTCGTCTTCTAGTACGTCCTCGTCTTCTAGTACATCTTCATCTTCTAGTACGTCCTCGTCTTCACCTGTTCCGCCTTCAACTGGTTTATCTCTGAATGATCAGAATTCCTCTCAAGTAACGACAAATGAGAATATTAAAAACACAGCAGACCAGGCATAGAAAAAACTTACAAGAAAAAGACTTCGGAGTGAACTGAATTGGTTAAGAAATAAAACGAAAAATTTAAGAAACGCTGAACAGGAGTACTGTTCTCTTAGCAAAAAAAATAGTACCAAAGAAATGTATCAAGGACGACTGTGGCGAAAAATGCACTTTTAAGTGTAGTACAAATATACAGAAGATGAACGTCTTGTAATATTTAATGAATTTTACAGTTTGTATGATCTTAATAGAAAACGCGAATTTATTGCAAGACATAGTAAATTAATCCAACCAAAGTACAGATATGTCAGAGAAAAAACCGAAATTTCAATTTAGCATTTTATTTCACAGTTCTTCTTCTTCTTCAGATGCAAATCCACTAATGGATGTTAGCGATCACATTTTCCATGAATTCTCTATTTCATGCAATATGTATCAGAGATTGTATGTCGTTAATCCCTGTTCATTGCCTTATGTTTCGGAGCCAGGACATTTTCTTGCGTCCCATTCCTCTCTTGCCTTCAATTTTACCCTTGATTATAAGTTGGAGGAACTGGTAGTTTTCATTTCGCATGATGTGACCTAGATACGCCGTTAACCAGAAAAAATTGAGGGTGTACAAAAAATTTTTTAAAGCCACTCTAGATATTAACGATCAAACTATTGATGGAACACTTAATAGAACTTTTCTCGATGATGGCCGTGGAAAACATCACAACCACAAAAAGTGGATGAAGAGATAAAAGAAAGTGTTAGAAATCACATTATGTCAATACCACGTATAGAGAGCTACTATCTAAGAGCTCAAACAAGTAAGGAGTTCATAGATGGTGGTAAATCAATAGCAGACCTACACAAAGACTATACTATTTTGCGCAAAAATTAAGAAAAACCATGTGCAAATTATCACATGTATTCTGACATATTTGGCAAAGAATTCAATATTTCATTTTTCGTTCCGAAGAAAGACCAATGTAATCTGTGATATATCTACAAGAATGCTGGAAACGAAGAAAAAGCAAATTTAGAAAATGAGTTCCAAAACTATCATTACCCAGGAAAAAGTGTTACCCAGGAATGAAATGGCTAATGATAAAGAAAAAGTAAATAACAATTTCGTGGTAGCCTGTTTTGACATGCATGCGGTACTTCAAATGTCAAAGGGTGACATATCTCTATTTTATTACAAGTCAAAATTAAATACGATGAACTTGACAGTTACTGAAATTGGAAATGACGAAACGTACTGTTATATCTAGTATGAGGGCGAGGGTGGCAAAGGTTCTGCAAAAGTTTGTTACTGTCTCTTATCCTACCTAAAAATGAAGTCTGAAGACTTAGACTCAGATGATCTCGAGATAGTCTTATATAGTGATAACTGTGGTGCTCAGCAAAAGAATAGGTAATAATGTTTAACTGTATTTTTGTATACTAATGATTAATTATATGTTTTCTAATTCTGAGAATTATTGTTCTAGGTTTCTGGTTTCTGCTTTAATGTACGGTGTTAGCAAGTTTAAAATCAAATGTATTACCCACAAATACTTAGTGGTTGGTCATACCCAGAATCAAAGTGATTCTATTCATTCCACAATTGAGAAGCAGGTATAGTTATTTGTTTATTTGCATACGTATTCAGTACATTGAATCATTGTATTGTTTTAGGTTACTCGCTCCTTAAAGTCTGGTCCCATCTTTGTTCCAGACCAATTTAGTACTTTAATACAATTAGCCAAAAAGAAAGGAAACCCGTTAAAAGTAAAAGAGGTAACTCATGAACAGTTTATTAGCGTAAAACAACATTCAGCAGACTTTGGTAACTTTACCAAAAGTTCCAAGGGAGAACAGACTCTAGTAAGCACATTCCGCGTAGTTTAAGTAAAGAAGTCACAACCATTGAAATTTTTTTACAAGACATTTTTTTCTGACTCACTTTCAGCAAGTCGATGTACGGGAGTTTAAACCAAGAAAAATGACTCGGCAATCAGGAACGGAACATGTGCGACCAGATAACGTATTACCACCACTACAAAGAGCCTACTCGTCAAAATTACCACTGAACGAAAACAAAAGAAATTACCTTAAGTTTTATACAGAGGGGATATATTCCAAAGTATTATGAAGCTTAGCTTTTTATAACTCTTTAATGTAATATTTTTTATTTTGATTAAAAAACTTCTTGCATTTTATTTGTTCAACGTTTCCATTTTAACCTTTGTTACCCATTAAAAGTGTGTTTTATTGTTAATGATAGAACTTTAACTTGTGTTATCTCATGATTAAAATTATTATATTCTTAATTAAAAAAAAATACTGGAACTATTTACGTATATTTGTGCATTACATACGCAGAAAAGTAGACCTACAAAGGCGTTTTAATTAAAAATTTTCCGAGCAAAAACGTATCAGCTCAAAAAAAAATCATTGATTTAATTAAAATTTGCACAAAATTCATGATTTTCACCACTGATGTTAATAGGGCGTTAATAGGTTAATAGGATTTTCTTTTGCTGCTCCTGTAAAATTAAGTATTTTTGATTTACAACAGTTTTGTTCGGGATGTGCGATGTATGGAAATTTATTTCCAACATATGTTTTGAGGTGTAACATGCAAAATAATGAGTATGTCGATCGGACTAGCTAGTAAGGAGTCATAACAAAAAATCTCTTTTTTGATTTCCAACTTGAATCCACTTTCACGAAGATCTGCATTATATATATAGCTGTTGGTTGGAGACAAAAATTGGTTATAGAAAGTTATGTAGTAGAATTCCAGGGCACGAAAGTAGTGCAGACCACAAAAGTTACTATTTAAAATGGAAACAACTAGAAGATAATATGAAACATATCAGAAGAGCAGATAATTTCCTTTTGATAAAAATGGTAAACGAAATTCAATCCTGGCGGGAATTGTTAACAGTTTATTTTGCCGTTATAATATTTCTCGCGGAACAAGGTTTGCCATTAAGAGGTTCCTTTTAATGTTAGAATTAATAAGCCACTATAATCGAACGTTGGTGATTTGAGAAAAGTCCGAAATTCTGCATTTGATAAAAAGAGGCTGCAAGTGCATTACTTATCACAGTAAATTCAAAAAGAGTTCATATCGGTTTGTTCAACACAAGTAGTAAACACAATTTTCTCAGAACGAAAAGTTCTTTGTTAATTATTCAGAGAAGACGGAAAATGCAATAGACAATTTAATTACAAATGTTCTCGAAAATCATAATATTCCGATTAGCGATTGCCGTGGGGAGGACTATGACATTGGTAGCAATATGAGTGGAATGTACAAAGATGTTCAAGAACGCATATTGCAGGTTCATTCGAAAGCTTTGTTTTTCCTCATGCACCTGCTTGAATCACAGCTTGAATTTATGTGGAGTGCATGCAGCAGAATCTTACCCTGAAGTATATGTTTTCTGAATTGTCCAAAATCTTTACAATATATTTAGCAGCAGCCCACAACGGTGTGATATATTAAAGAAAATAGGTGTTTCTCTACATTCAATGAGTTACACTCGTTGATCTGCCAGCTCAGAAATTACCTGGAATTAATAAACCTGTAGACAAAGTTATCAATTTAAATATGACAGCGGAATTAAAAACAAATTTAAACCAAATAAAAAAATACATTAACAAATTTGAATGTGTACTAATGTCATTAAAAATATATCAGGGCTTCTAGAAGATAAAAGATCAGAAATTCATGGTCTTTCATTATTGAAGAATCTAAATAAGTTACCAACAATTATAGAATAAATCCAGAATTTAAATCAAATAAAGAAAAATAGTCAAAAAGCCTGCTAGAATTTTTGATCATTTGCCTGGGCCTAGCAGTGACGCGACTGATAATTTTGAGCTCGACGCAATATTTCGCTGTGAAATATTTAATATTGTCATAGGAAATATATATTGTCATATAATATGAAGTTTAACCAGAATATTTAATGCCACAAATGAAATTCATTAGCTATTTTACATTTTATGGCACAAAAAGGAGGACAAGAGATGAGGATTCAGATAACGAAGAAGAAAGGTCAACAAAGAGTCGAAAACTCTCCAAGACTCCACCCAAAACAACAGATAACCATGATGAAACAAAACTGGATAAATTAATAGACATGATGAAGAACCTAGCAAGTGACATTAAAGAAATAAGGAGAACCCAAAACAGAAGTAATGAAGCAATAGAAAGATTTATACCTGATAACCAGACTTTAAGAGAAGAAAATAAAGACCTGAAGAAAGAAAATATGGAAATCAAAAAGAAGTTAAATGAAGTCAAGGAAACTACATATTGAATTCATGAAAAAATAAAGAAGAAAAAACAATGTAGTCATGAGTGGACTAGCAATACGATCAAAACGTCTTAAAAAAGGGAATGGGCAATTTGATTAAACACAATTTGAAGATAGATGTTTAAATTAAAAATGCACACAAACTGGGAGAGAAAACCTGTCTGATTGATTTAGTTGAACATGAAGAGAAGGCAAAGGTTATGAAAAATAAATCTAAACTAAAACATGTTGAAGAAGGAAAAGTATACATAAATGGTGATACTACAAATAAAGAGAGAGAAATTCAGAAAACAATTAGAAAACTTGCGCAAAAAAAGGAGAGAGGAAAGGACGTAAGATTTGGTGGAAATAAAATATGGATCAACAAGGTCGGCTGGAAATGGGACAACAAAGAGAACACACTAGTCAAAATGGGGACAAAAAACTAGTAAACAAATGTGCCGGAAATACTATGACAAACCAGGCAATTACAATCGACATGAGTAGTTATAGAATAGGTAGTAAAGACAAAGATAGATCCATAAATAATGACCAAGGCCGTGAGCAACGAGAGACAAGAAAGGGTAAACCCATAAAAATGCAGTCAGCAACGATCGAGAATATAAACAGTAACTATTTAAAACCCACATTAAACAAGAAAGAGCTTAATGACACGGCCCACAATAACGGAGCAGTGCTAAAGCCCAAAGTAACATGGAATGTCAGAGATCTCAACGCCAAAGAAGTTGAACGTGCTGAAGAATTTGAGAAAAATCAAATAGACTTACTGGGTATAACAGAGACCAAAAAGAAGGGAAAAATACACAGTTTTTAGAAAATGGACACTTCCTCATCACCGATGCATGCAATGCATTTCCGAAAGAATTCTAGACTGGTAACTGCGGAACACAAACTAGTCAATATCATCGTTATGTATGGGATAAATGATGACGAAAGAGCAGCTAGCAAAGACCTATTCTAAGATAAGGCCTCAGAAATAATAGACAGTTTAGAAGGCAATACTATAGTACTAGGGGATCTAAATGGTCGAGTGGGTGTAAGACATGAACATACCCAAGATGTATTAGGACCATATGGAGAAGAAATAAAAAATGACAATGGGGAACGTAATATTAATATATGCAGAGAAAATAATTTAATAATAATGAATGCATTTTTTAAACATAAATATGTATATAAATATACAAGAGAAGTCAAAAGTAGAGGCGAAAGATCCATCATAGACTATGTGTTAGTAAATAAATCATCCAGGTAATGTATTAAAGACGTAAGAGTAAAACATGGAGCTGAAATATATAGTGACTACTATCTAGTTGTTGCCAGGACCAGCTTGGGAGTGCGACAAGAATCAATAACGAAAGAGACCAAGAAAACAAGTAAAGCTCACAATACACCCACTATAGAAGTAATCATGTCACATAAGCTAGCAGACAAGGAGACAGTAAACAAGTTTGAAAACTACGTTAATAACTACCTAACAGAGCACGCTGAGCATGACTGTGACTTAGACCAAAATTAGAAAATACTGAAAGAAGCACTCCTAAACGGTGGTAAACAAGTATGCAGAATAACAAGAAATAACAGAAGCAAAATGTGTACAAACTGGTGGAACAATGAAATAAAAGCAGAAGTGAAGTCCAAGAAGATAGCGTGGAAAAATTATTTAAGGAACGGAACCGCAGGCAACTACCAAATATACAAACTGCAAAGAATCAAAGTCAAAGATATGGTACTAGCAGCGAAACGGAAAAGTTCGGAAAGAATTCGGAAACAAGATAGAACAAGACTACCACTCTAACGAAAAGTTATTCTTTAAAACCCTGAAGAATTTAAGAACCGAAAAGGCTCCACAAAGACCAAAGGAAATACGGGACAAAGAAGGACATTTACTGCAAGACAATGACCACATCCCATCCTAGATAGATGGAAGCAACATTTCGAGGATCTACTGAATATCAAAAACGATGTAGACATTATCATAGAAGTGAACTGTTTTTATTTATCTTATTTATTGTCTTTACGTATTATAAAAGGGTTGTAGACTTTTTCAAGACTTAAAAGTTTATTAAAGTCTTTATTTACAATATTACACTAATTTAGTATAGTCTTACAATAATTTATTTAGACTATTATATATAGTTTAACAATAATTTATTTTACCCAATTTACCGATTCTACTACATTTCCGCGTTACAATAATTCTCGATATAACTATATTTTCGGACTAACTTGCTTTTCAATAAAATGTTTCATATATACCAAACAACCGCTAGACTGGAATCCCGGCGAGGGATCGATGACCTTCTCGACTAGTACGGAAGGCAAGAAGGTTCTTTTCGGACGGTCGGGCCCGTGGATCTTCTTTCTAGAAAATACTCGAATAAAAAAAGGATGTTTACAGTTTTATGAGTCACTATTTATTGTAACATTACCCCCCTCTTAAAAGGCGGTTCCTCCCGGAACCTTGTCGGTACTGGAAATGGAACGGTATGCTGGTATCGGCAACTAGACCCCCTTTTACAACTTCCAGTTGTATAAAAATGACAAAGAACGGTTTTTTCTCCGCACCAGTAGCTATGCAGATTGCAGCAGACTGGACTTCCTGGACTTCGGTGTCTTTAAAGATCTCCTCCACCATACTTCGGATAGCCCTCCAATCTAATTGGCGGCACTCCAACTTTGGCATGGCTAACTTTTGCACGTCGGACTTTAGTACGTGCTCTCTTAATTGAAGTAAGGCTTCCATTGAAGTAAGGGCGGTGTCTTTTGTTACCAGGTAGAAAAGGTAACGTGATGCATCTTGGAGTTTCAAGCCTTTCCCAGGAGTTGGCACTTGGCATTGAAGTTCAGCAACTCGACCGAACTTCCTTCGATAGACGGATGCCAAACCTGGTGCGTCTTTGATACTGGCTGGGATGGGAAGGACCAGTGAGTAGTCGTCGGGAAGCGCGAGTAGATCTTGCCCTTCTTCAGTGGTAACACCATGTCTTGGTCGTGGACCACGTCGTGGTCACCTTCGAAAGACGCCAGCCGGTTATGGTGTACTATCATTGGCTTTCCCCTCGGAATCTTGCTTATTCGGTGATATCGTTGATCTTCTCCATAATGGAGTATGGACCTTCCCAAAACTGCTGCAAATTGGGAGAACAACCTTTTCGCTTCTTGGGGTTATAGAGCCAGACTTTGTCGTTCTTCTTAAAGCACCCCTTTTCAGCTTGCGTGTCGTACCGTTTCTTCATTTGGTCGCTAGCGATCTGAAGATGGGAACGGACCAATTCGTGTACATCGTCCATTCTTCTTCGTAGTTCGATCACATAATCTTCATCTGCTACATCTTCTCCAGGTCGACACCCAAACTCTAGATCACAAGGTAGTCGCATCTCGCCTCCGAATAGGACTCTGGCTGGTGTCTGGCTTGTTGATTCGTTAACAGCAGATCTGCAGGCCATTTTGAAGAACGGAAGATATTGGTCCCAGTCTCGCTGATGTGCTCAATCTTGAAATTGTATTCTTGGAGTCGTTCGATCCATCTGGCTATCTGACCCTCAGGATTTTTAAACTGCATCAACCACTTAAGGAATGCATGGTCGGTTCGGATTAAAATTTTCTTCCATAGAGGTATTGATAGAAGTGCTCTACTGACTTCATTACTGCTAGAAGTTCTCTTCTCGTGACGCAATAATTCCGCTCATGTTTTGAAAGAACTTTACTAAAATATCCAAGAACTCGTTCCTGTCCTCCTTAAATCTGAGACAGCACTCCTCCAATTCCCACATTACTTGCATCTATATCTTAGCTGAACTCTCCTTCTGGGAGTGGATACCCTAAAATTGGTGCTGCGATTAAATGCTTATTCAAGGTCTCAAAGGCATTTTGGCAGTCTGTATCCCAGCGGTAATCTCTTGCTTCCTCTGTAAGTCATGTTAATGGCTTACAGATATCTGCAAACTTTTTAATAAACCTCCGATAGTAAGTACATAGTCCAAGAAAACTTCTCACTGGATGCTTGTCAGTTGGTTCTGGCCATTCCTTAATGGAATCGATTTGTCCCTTATCCACGGCCACTCCTTCTTTTTCGCAGCTTTAAGTCGATTAAAAACGTTTTCTAAATTCTTCAGATGATCTTCAAATATCTCCCCCAAGACGATTATGTCATCTAGATAAACCAGGCATTTTTTCCAAGATGACCCTCTCAACACATTTTCCACAAGTCTCTCAAATATCGCAGGAGCATTACAGAGTCCAAATGGCATAACGTTGACTTGCCACAATCCAGATCCTGTGGTGAAGGCTGTCTTCTCTTTATCTACTGGGTCCATTTCTATCTGCCAGTATCCAGACTTCAAATTCAAAGTAGAAAACAATTTACTTCCAGCCAATTTGTACAATGTGTCGTCGATCCGAGGAAGAGGATAACTATCTTTCTTGGTAACGTTGTTCAGCAAACGGTAATCCACACAGAACCTCATAGTTCCGTCTTTCTTCTTAACCAGGACCACCAGAGAGACCCATGGGCTCGTAGAAGGTTTCATCACCCCGTCTTTCTTCATTTCCTGAACAATTGTTTCAGGTTCCTCTCTTTTCACCTGTAGTAATCGTTGAGCTGTTTGACGAATTGGCTTAGCATTACCAGTATAAATTTTATGCTTAACAACGGTAGTTCTTCCCGTCTTTCCTCCTTTTGATACGAAAATATCACGATACCACCGAAGAAGTTCCCTTAATTTTCTTTTCTCAATCTGATTCAGAGACTGTCCCACAACTGCAACAATTTGGTCGAATTTGTCGTTGGAATTATCAGATGTTGTCGTCTGACGGATTATGGATGTCACAGGTACGCAAGTCCCTACTTTTGTCTCTTTCTTGATGGTCACTGGGTAGACATTGACATTGATAAGTCTCACAGGTAATTTCTTTAGCCGAAGTCACCAATTTCTTTCCAATTATGATTCCTCGGCCAACCTCGTCGACATGGTTCCAAGGCTCCATCATAACAGGTGTCCCTTCGTACACAATTCCCTGTAACACGCGCTACTATGATTGTTTCACTTCTCGCAGGCACGACTGTATCTTTATTAACGGCTGCTTGCACAGTGTTGTCATCATGTGGATAAAGAAATACCTCCTCGTTACCAACTTTGATTACCTTATTCTTAAAATCCAATTGCAATCTATGCATATTCATTACGTCCATTCCTAAAATAACATCCTCTTCGATGTCAGCAACTATAACAGTATGGACGAACTTTTTTGCTCCAATTCCTAATTGTACCTGGATTTCTCCATGAATGTTGGCATTTTCACCTGTAGCGGTCCGAAGTCGCAACCTTGTTCAATTGCACCCGTGACGCCTGTTAAATGTACCAACCGTCCACTGATTGAAGATGAAAATGACAAATGGGAAACCCAAAAAAGAGGTTTTTACAAAATACCTCGTCCAACACTTATTGAACGACCAGATCCACTCCAGGGAACCAATGAGAATGCTGGAAGTATCCTGCGTGTAGCCTCAAAACATATGGCGATTTTCCTGTCAGGTTTCGATCCAAAAACGGAAGCTCAGGAAATACTTAACCGTCTAAAAGAAAGAAAACTGGATGAAAATGTTATCTGCGAAAAAATGAAAACCACGACAGATAAGTACAAAAGTTAATTTAAAATTACTGTTCCAGAACTAAAAATGCCTCATTTAATGCAGCAAGAATTATGGCTGAATGGTGTAATTTTTAACCTTCTTCAGAACTTACAGAGGCACCCCAGTGTCAAAAGACAGTCTACGGCACACACCAAAAGAAATTATCTGTAATCCACTTAAATACGCAATCAATTAAAACAAGTATTGATGCCATTAATTTTATCCTAGAAGATCACGATGAATGCTTTGCTCTTTGTTTAACTGAGCACTGAAAAACAGAAGAACAACTGCGGGACTACAATGTGCGGAATTTTAAACTGATCTCTTCATATTGCAGAAGCAGTTCACAGGAGCATGGTGGCAGTGCAGTATACATCAAAGACACATTTATTGCAAAAGCCCGGGAAGATATTTTTAGTTTATCAGAGAGAATGGTGTTTGAGTGTTCCGCTGCAGAGGTGCAAATTAATAAGAAGAAGATTGTAATCCTATCCATCTACCGAACAGAAGACCCACAAGTTTTAATGAATAAATTAGACCAAATACTTTGTGATTTAGTTGACAAGGACTCCATCATTTTTTTGGCTGGTGATTTTAACTTAGATATGCTGCTTGAGGGTGTAAAGTGGCCAGAGGTATTAAAAATGTTTTTGAGCTGCTTTGATATAAAACCTTCCATTAAAGACTATACACGCATACAAGGTAACAAAAAATCCTGTATAGATAATATTTTTACAAATCTTGACATATTTATTTTGATTCACTTGTATTCAATCCTCATACATCTGATCATACTGCTCAAAAGGTAAAATTTGAATTAAATGAATTTGAGTCAAATATAATAAAAAAACGAATATTTAGCAAGGAGAATAAAAGTTTTTTTTAAATTCATGTTAGGTAATGTAGACTGGGTATTTGTTTTTGAGACATTAGAAGTAGATAAACAGTGGGATGCTTTTATGAGTATAGTTCAGAAAAATTGTATAGAATGTTTTCCACTCAAAGAGATAATTACAGCAAATAAAAAAAATCACAAAAGTAGTTTAAAAATGAGGATATAAAACGTTCTAAATCTAGGCTTGATGTTTTATTTACACTGTCTACCAATAATGTTGATTATAAAGATATTTACAGGACAGAAAAACGCAAATACAATTCTTTACTCACTCAATCTCGGAAAAATTGTTATAAAGAACGAATTGAAAATAGCGAAAATAAAACTAAAATGGCTTGGCAATAATTGGTAAAAGAGATTAAGGGAATTCCAAAAATCAAGGTAATTTCTGTTTGGCGGGTGACCCTCAGGTGCTTTCTAACGAAATAAAGCAATTTATGGCAAATGCAGCACCAGAAGCTGTAAAGAAAATAAAGCATGTAAAAAATTTTCAAATTAATATCGAACAAACTAATCATTGCATGTTTTTAACTCCAGTTTCAGAGAAAGAAATAAGTCACATAATAAATAACTTAAAAAACAAGCATAGCTCTGGTTATGATGAAATATCAACTAGCTTAATTAAATATGTTTCATCAGAGATTTCTCTTCCTCTTTCTTTTATAGTTAATGCTTCTTTCAGGCAAGGTCAATTTCCTCAAAACTTAAAACTGGCAATTGTCAAGCCACTTCATAAAAAAGGTGATGTTACTAAGAAGGAGAACTATAGACCAATAAGCCTTCTTCCATCATTCTCAAAAATATTTGAAAAAGCAATATATTTCAGCCTACAAAACTTTTTTACTACAAACAACTTATTTAGTAGTTCACAGCATGGTTTTCTCGCAGGGAGATCTGTTGAGACAGTTACCTATGATTTTATATCAAAAATTTTAGAAAAACTGGAGGCAAAGATGAAAACACTGGGTGCTTTTTTGGACCTATCTAAGGCTTTTGATAGCCTAGATCATGTTCTTTTATTACAAAAATTACATCTTTATGAAATACATGGACCAGCATTAAAATGGATAAAATCGTTTCTCACAGATAGGTCGCAAAAGGTATGCCTGGAGAAAATGAGACATAAGGTTAACTGTGAACCCATCAATTAAAAATTAGGTATACCACAGGGGAGTGTTCTGGGGTCTTTTCTCTTTTTGGTCTACATAAACGACCTTCCAAATGCGGTGGTTAGTAGTTCCTCGAACCTTGTAAATTTCGCTGATGACTCAAATGTGCTTTTCTGGGAAAAAAAACTTTAGAAACACTCCTCACAGTGGCAGAGAAAATTATAAGCAAGGCTGAACAGTGGTTCAGTGGAAATGGGTTGTTGCTTAATACTGATAAGACAGTTTTTGTCTACTTTAGAACCAGCCAGTCACGAGAACAGTTTCCAGATACAATTAATTTTCTATCAGAAAACACGGAACCTGCTAGATCAGTTAAATTTCTTGGTATTCATATTGACCAGAATCTGAATTGGGGGGAACAAATACAAAATACAACAAAAAAACTGAATAAAGCCTGCTACTAATTAAGAGTGTTAAAGAGCTATCTAGACCAGGGGATTTTACTATCGGTATATTATGCAAACTTTTATTCTGTTATGCGATATGGAGTAATCTTCTGGGGTACTGCAGTAGATAGCTCAACTATCTTTATAGTCCAAAAAAAATGCAGTCTGGGTGATCTTAGGACTAAAGGCGGGAGAATCCTGTCGAGGCCGATTCAAGTCACTCAACATACTCACTTTCTCAGCCATCTATATATTTAAATGTATTATGTTCCTTTTTAAACATTTTTCTTTGTTTAATCACCTGCTTCCCAATCATGAATATAATACAAGAAGCCTTAATTTGAATTTGCCACTTCACATATTGTCTATAACAGAGAGAAGTCCTTTGTAAACGTGTGTTAAATTTTATAATAGTCTACCATCTGACATTAAACAGGAAACACACTATAGAGCTTTTAAAAGAAAGGTTTTTTAAAACCTAGTTGACATTGAGCCATATACTGTGGCGGAGTGCCTAGCCTATCCTTCTCCTTGATCAGCATATTTAATTTGTAATGTTAATATATTTTAAATGTGTGATGTCAATACATATTTTTTTAATCTGTAATTAATAATGTGACGTTATTTGCTCAATTATGTTTAAAAATTTATGCAAATAAAAATTTACTCTACTCTACTCTACTCTACTCATTTATTTCTCTCTCAACCGACCCGTTCTAGTTTTGTCTTAGGTCTTATGGTCTTCGTTTTCTTGTATGTCATGCTTTTCATCATATTAACGAGCTGGTCAAGTTTATCTTCATCTCCTTCCTTTTTTACAGTCCTAACTTTACTGTACCCGTCAGAGGCCTGCGTAACTGACTCGTATTCGAGGGCGGCGGATAAGACATCAACCAGCGCCTTGTGCCGAGCTAGTCGCAGTGTTCTCTGCATTTCATGATTACGAAGACCATCAATAAATGTTTGAACGGTCAGTTTTTCCATCATGTCTTCGGGAGCTGTTGGATAAGCATATCGTACTAATCTGGCAATATCTACCTCATATTCTTGAAGAGCTTGATCTATCTTTTCTCGTTAGTTGTTCGTGGCCATATCGCATATTTAACCTGTTCTCAAGTTGTTCGAAATCATCCGTCTCCTCTACGGCTATGGTCTGAAGCACATCTAAGCCATCTCCTCGAAGAGCGATAGTCAGGTTTACAGCTTTTTCTTTTTCAGACCATCTATTCGCTCTTGCAGCTGATTCAAACTGTTTCATATAGTTGTTCTATGATGATTTTCCGTCGAAAGTTCCTCCACAGAACCTCCACTTCCTTCAAATTTCGGTCGTGTTTCCAACTTACATTTCGTCGCGTCTTCTTTTGTCTCCACTGTAATTGAATTGTTTCCTCTCTCTGACTTCCCTGTTTCCTCCATCTTCCTTTCGATCTCTTTCATCTTTTCTTCGAAGGCCATCATATCGGCAGCAACTTGGTTTTTTAACGAAGACATTCTATCATCGAGGGCAGACATCTCAGAGTGACTTTAGAGATTTCCAAAGAGATGTTAGCAGAAACTTTACTTTCCAGAGAAGAAATCTCGTTTCAAAGACAAAGAAAAAGACAAAGAAAACTTTGTCTTCTAAAGAAGCGACGTCGCCGGAAACTTTCAAAACATCGCCGAAAGTTTGTTCTCTAATGATGCGATGTCACCAGAAACTTTGTTCTCTAATTTCGAAATCGACGAGATGACAGCAGCATGTTTGTCATAGACCGAAAATATATGTTTTCGGGTCTAAACCCTCTTTTTTTAAAGCATTCTTTAGTCGTTGGACGAAATTTTAGCCTTTTTTTCCGGTATAAGCTAATTCTCTGTCCTCCTCGAAATGTCTTCTCAAATTCGTAACTGTGATCTCATAAATCGTAGTCATTTTCACAATTTATTTTATATTTCACTCTGACACCATTTGAACTGTTTTTATTTATCTAATTTATTGTCTTTATTTATTATTGTCTATATTTATTTGTCTAATTTATTATAAAAGGCTTCTCCACTTTTTCAACACTTACAAGTGGTTATTAAAGTCTTTATTTACAATATTACACTAATTAATTGTTCAATTCAAGTCTTACAATAATTTATGTACACTATTATATACAGTTTAACACTAATTTATTTTACACAATTTACCGATTCTACTACATTTCCGCGTTACAATAATTCTCGATATAACTATATTTTCGTACTAACTTGTTTTCAATACAATGTTCCATATATAATATACCATACAACCGCTAGACTGAAGGATCAATGACCTTCTCGACTAGTATAGAAGGCAAACAGGTTCTTATCGGAGGGTCGGGCCCGTGGATTTTTTCTAGAAAATTCTCAAATAAAAAAAGAATGTTTACAGTTTTATGAGTCATTATTTATCGTAACAGAAGAACCAGAAGAGGTAGAGTAAGAAGACCAAATTCAAGACGAAATAACTATAGCAGAAACAAAAGTAATAATACAAAAGCTTAAGAAAAGTAAGGCGGCTGGATTTGATAAAATCACAGCAGAAATGCTTAAAAACATAGGCGACAGGGGTATTGAACTGCTAATCAAAGTATGTAATAGGGTATGGAGTGAGAGCCAAATACCAAAAGATTAGGAAGTGGAAGTTATTCTACCCATTTTCAAAAAGGGAGACAGACGCGAATATAGTAACTACAGAGGAATAACACTACTGAGCATCCCATCCAAAGTATATTAGAGAATATTAGAAAAAAGTATTTTACAAGAAGTTGATTCTAAAATGGAACAATCACAGAGTGGATTTGGAAAAGGCAGAAGCATCCAAGATCACATTTTTACTATCAAGAAACTAATACAAAACGAACGGAACTCAAGGACATATGTTTAAAAAAGAAAGGTTGAAAATTAAACTCAGGCAAGCCATTATGAGTATATATAGATATAGAAGGAACAGAATCAGAACCTATAATATGAAATCCGAAGAGTTTATAGTAAATGAGGGTCTACGTCAAGGAGGAGTCCTAGGCCCCATACTTTTTAACATTGAAACATTGAAATTATATGCCAGACATAGAAATCTAGAAGCAGTGTGGATCTCAGAGTGTGCATACGCAGACGATCTAGTGATATTTGGGATAAATGAAGAAACACTCAATCGAAATTTACAAGTATGGAACGCTGCACTAATTAAACGAAATTTGAGGATCAATAATGAGAAGACGAAAGTAATGGTATGTGGAAAAAATAGAAAACAAACGAAGATAACACTTAACGGAAATACACTTGAACAAGTCGATACTTACAAATACTTGAGAGTACAAATAGAGAACAGAGGAACTGAAGAAACTGAAATAAGTTCCAGAATAGAAAGTGCTGCCAGAATAGAAAGTGCTGCTCGGATGTACCACACAATTAAAAGTACGTTTTTGTCGAAAAGAGAAGTATCTCAAAAAGCCAAAGTGATTATATACAAGACGGTGTTTGTGCCGATTTTAACTTTTAGTAGTGACAGTTGGACGCTTGCTTATAAATTAAAATCGAAAATACAGAGCATAGAAATGAAGTTTCTTAGAAGAATAATGGGTATAACCAGGTTAGACAGGATTAGAAACGAGGCAGTCAGAGAACATCTTAAAGTCCAACCAATTATTAAAAAAATTGAAGAGGCCCAACTGAGATGGTATGGATACGTGGTTAGAATGAATCAAGAAAGACCAGTTAAAAAAATATGGGAAGCCAGAAGACAAACCAAGAGACCAAGCGGCAGGCCAAAGAAGACATGGGATGATAATGTAACCTCAATCCTGGAGACACGAGGAATCAGAAAAAAACAAGCAAGAAACCAAGCAAAGAATAAGAAGCAATGGAGAAAAACTGTACTAGTGGCAATGTAGTATTGCCAATAAATTGGTTAAAGATCCATTCTTTGTAAAAAATAATTTACTTGCATATATCTCTGGCCATATTACAGAAAATCGTAGGTTAGTCGTTCAGTTGATACTTCCTATAGTGAGAAGGATCTCTTACAAATTATTAATTTTGTTGTACCTATTAAAAAAGTAAATCGCATAACTAGAGTTATCCAAAAAGACAACAATATCGAGCGGGTTCCTTGTCAAATGATCATTGTTACTCTTGAAGGAAAACTCATTCCTCATTTTATTTGTATTAATAAAGTTAGATGCACTGTAGAAACTTATATTAACCCAGATATGCAATTTTT